AGACCTGACTTGAGGATATACAAACACTAACCAGGAGACTGCGTCACATAGGGCACTTTAATCTTCCTCGATGGGGACCCCCGAGATTATGGTAACCGGTGGTTCGAAAGACCGAGTGATGTGGCTGAAGGTCACGAACTGGAGCTCGTGTACAATATTCTTGCAAACCCAGTTCATATGAATTTTCCATTTTCACTTTGAATTTGCTTTGAACATTCCAATCTTCATTCTGTTCCTTTAACCGAATGAGCGGCCAAAAGACAGCAACCAAAACCGATGCATGAAAATGCATTGTTAATGGTTGTGAAAATGAAACTGAACTCTCTTATTCAACTGAGTCTGCGAAGGATCAACGATAGGGTCACCTTGGGTACAACCGAATTGACACTAACCCATCAGTGATCGGTGGAATCGTGACAGAGGCTCTTTGTGGTAACAGGCATGACGTCCTTCAAACTCCAGTAGAATAGAACGGATCCTGTATTCTACACGGTTCGGAACAAAGAAGGCCGTTTTCGGACTAGGCTTGCACCACCGTCGTTGAAAAGAGCCGGAAATAGCAATCCTGTATCGGTGATTTGTGACGTATCAGAAGTCTGAAGCCTCGAGACTTCTCCCTTAGTAGGCGGTGAAAAATTCACAAACCATGGATGACTGCGGACGTCACGAGATGAGCGTAGTGATGTCGACAGCCAACTGAATTGTTGACGGAAGTGCTTGCCCAGCGTCCAAGCCGACATCGTGGATTGTGGATATACTCGCTATTGATTTCGTATGTGATTTTCCTTACGCACGGCTTTTTCTTACCAATGACTAGGATTAGTCAGAAAAGCTGGTGAGTATCAACGAAATCAGTGGGCAGTTCCACCTCGGAAACGCATTGTCCATCAGGTCTCTCGGTCCTCCTTTAGAAACCATTTATAGTTTATTATTGACTGTCCTGAGAGTGATTGATTGACCGTACGCTTGGTGAAGCTACATGCAGTGGTGGAAGACCTTTTCATGGCGTTACTGATGTGAACCCATTGGTTATCAACGTTCGAAGATGACAGACGTGTTTTGGTAAGCGGTAACCACGTTTGGATCAGTCAGTTTCAAAGAAACGAGTCTTCTTGGGTGACAGTGCTGTTTTCCAAAGCGCAGAGAGATATTCGTGCGCACTAGTAGATGATCAGAGCAGCGGCGGGTGCCCCAGATAGATTTGTAGTCCGTTATGCAGTTTCTCTATCGAATCTTGAGAAGGCACTAGACGTTCATTGTTCACGTTTTTCCCAGTGAGCGAGCGTTGCCTGGGCCCCAACATGCTGTTGGAAACTCGAACTGATCGGCGGTTGACCGATAACAGGAAAATTGACGTGTGGAAGGGAAATGATGTGATTTGTTGGTGCAGTAGCATGCAAATATGTGGCGCCGACCGTCAATATCTCGATCAAACAGCGAAAAGTTTGTGCGAGTTAAATCCAGTAAACCGCAGAATTTGTGCACAGATTGTGTGGGCATGTTGCTTCCAGGTTGCCTTGGCCGAAGAATAAGATCGGGGTTCCCATCCGAAGCCTTTAGCTAGAAAGCCAAACATGTAAAACAGCAGGACGGAGCTCAGGGTTCGCAGTCCATTGGGGGCCAGTGTACAGTTCATCGGATTATACACCACAATATCCAATCAAACCGGAGACCACTGTTACAACCAGGAAAGTGTCTGATTCGTCCGCCTCTTCTTGATTGGTTTGCAATTGGAGATTTCAGCCAACTCCTTTAGGTAAACTGCCAAAGATTCACCAACTTGGTTATGGCCCCGTACGTTGACTTCTCGTTTCCTCACTACGCCACGAAAAAAGTGAGTAGGCCTTACTCGGTAGAGGCTATTT